ATTGGATTGTGGTGTGAAGGACCATCTCCTTCAGCCTGGAGCACCCCGAGGGGCTCAGACACTGGCTGGGTAGAGCAGCAAGAGCAGAAGTGAAGACCACCCAAAAGTTGAGCTGAGGTTGATGGAGAAACCTGGCTGGTGCACAAAGGTTTCCATGCCCGTATAGATGGAGAGGGAAGGAGGAGAAGAGGAGTCGCCCGGGGATGGGGTGGGCAGGCAGTGCGGGTGCCAGCTGGCTCCATCTCAGCTGGAACACGAGAATAACGACAGGAATGGAGGGAGGATGAAGCAATCGGGATTGCGAAAGCCACAGTGGAAGTAACCCCTGGAGCTCTCTCTGGTTGAACCAGGGCACCCTTCAGCTGACGGCGTGGAGAGCCCAAAGGCATCGGCTGGTACCCACGTCAAGAGAAGGTGGAAAGGGCAGCCGTGCGCATGGAGGGGAACGGAGCCGGGGAGATGGAGGGCGGTTTGGCTGAAGATGGGTGGTGTCAGACGAGGGGCCAGGCTGTTGCGTTTGACCGAGGCGATGCGGTGCCTCTCCCCAGCGTCGTACCACGGGACCGTTCATCCCGGAGCCCCGGTGGGCTGTTACGGGAAGGCAGGAGCAGAGGTCTCCGCTCACCAGCTCCTGCCCTGAGGGATGGAGATGAATCGATGGTGCTGGGCAGCAGCACACGGATGTGCCTGCCAGGGCCTGGGACATGGCCCAGCCAGTCTGGGAGATGCTGCTGGTGGCTGAGTCCAGGCTGGAGGCATCCCCGCCATGACAAGCACTTGCTTTTTAAAAGCAAGACCAGAGTTTCCGCAGGGTAACGCGGAGCTGGCCTGGATCCCGTGCACCCGGTGGGAGAGCGGCGCAGCAGCAAGAGAGGCTAATTACAGCCCTGGGTGGCTAATTGCACCATGGGAACACCTAACGCAACGCAGCCCCTGACTGCCAACTGGGTGAGGGCTGGTATCGCCATCGGCCCTGGGGGGGTGGAAGGGCTCAGACCTCTGTGGCATCGCTTGGACCTTGGTGACAGATGCTGGGGCATGGGAGGGGAAGGGCAGAGGGGCTCCTGCAGCCCAAACTGGGGGGAGCAGAGGGTTGGGGAGGGCTGGCACCATGTGCCTGCTGCAGACCCAGGTGGGGAGATGATGTCCAACAGTTTGATCCTCTGCAGGGTGAGGTTTGGGGATCAGCTGCGATGCCACCAGGGATCTGCGATGAGCTTTGCCAGGATGACAGGCATGGACCAGAACCCACTCCCGCTGTCCCTACCAGTTGAGATCCCCCTTTCCCAGGGATGGGGTCCCTGTGGACAGGAGAGGTGCCCAGAGCACGGACACTGTTATGGGCAGCAGATCTGATCATGTCAAGTTGGAGGCACTGCAATGGCTTTGAACAGCCCAGGAGGGCACTGATCAGCAGGGACACCTTAGGTAACTCCGGGTCCCCGGCGTTGACTCACCACTGCTCTCCACCCTTGGTGGGGTAGCCCGTCTGAGCCAGTCCATCCTCAAGCCTCCATACAGGATGAGATACACAGCATCTCCTCCTGGACCAGCCCCAGACGCCCACACACTGCTCCACTCATATACCTGATTCACCTGCCACGCTCCTCGGCATCCCCTGCTCCACTCGCCCTGCTCCTGGGGACGCGGGCTGAGCTCCCCAACACCCTCCCACCAGGGCAGCATGATGGAGGTAGTCCTACTCCACGGGCTACTTCTCCTCCCCTTGGTAGCCCTGCTGCTTTACCAGTACAATGCCACCTTCCACTACTTCTGCAAGATGGCCTTCTTCAACTGCTGGATCCTGGCCATGGCCACCATCCTGTCCCCCTTCGCAGCTCTTCGGGGACGTTCCGTGGAAAATATGAAGTGAGTACGGCATGGGGATGTGCTTCTGGTGTGGAGATTGCTGAGGCTTGGCTGAGATGGAGGAGCTTGTGTGATCTTGTGGACACATGCTCTGTCCCGCTCTGGGCATACTCACAGACACGTTACGGCCAGTGGTTGAGCCCTGGGGCCATGGCTGTGGTCATGTCCACGTGGCAACGAAGGGTGCATCTGCATCTTGTGGTTTGGCAAAGAGGTGCTGGCCATGCCCAGGGAGGGTTATGCCATGATGGAGGCGGCCAGCTGGGTTGGGACTGGTGGTCCCTGGAGGATGAAGCAGCATAAAAGGGATCATTCTTGGCCATCGCAACGTTGGGGTCATCAGTTGGGTGGGCGATGGGGGGTTTTGGCAATGGTTGGAGGTAAAAACCATTAGCGGGACACAAATGCGTGCCCACCCCTGGCAGCGCAGCCGGGTTTTGCTCAGCAGGAGCTTTGGCAGAGAGATTTTGGGATGCGTCGGTGCCATCGGATGTCACGCGTGGCGCAGTCATGTCCCGGCGAGTCGTGCGCTGGGGCTGTCAGCTGTGCTGGGGGGTGGTGGCAGCCGAGATAACATCGCTGTGCAACACGAGAGGAAGGGCTGGCTGCTTTCAAGGGTGTTGCAATCTTTGTTACTGGATTCCTGGCCGTGATGGCATACCGGAAGGGATGTAATTATGTGAGTGGAAAACGTCTGAGCTCCTGGTATTCACCGAGCTGACGCCATCACGTGTTTGTGCTGATGGACTTTGGGCCCCCAGCAGAAGCGTGGTCAGAGGTTTGATGTTATCCATCTGTGGTGTAGCCTCTCATCCTTGCTCTCATGTGTCCGGCGTCGCTCCGAGCCCCGGCGTAAAGGCTTCCGGCTCGGTGGAGATACCCAGCGTGACGCGGCGGTGACTCGCGCTGCCTCATCTTGTCCCACTGACGCCTCGCAGCCATCCTCCACCTGAGCCCCACGCCCAGCTCCGATCCTCCAAATCCCAAAGCCTCCGGCTTGGAGCACATTCCCGTCATTATTCCTGGCTTTGAGGCATTGCCATTAGTGTCTTCCTTCTCTGCAGACACAGGGATCTCCGAGCCTGCGTCCCCCAAGGGATGGGTGGTCTCCTGATACAACAGACCCTCTAAGCATCGTGCCTCCCTCCCCCTCTGTGCCTGTCTCTACTGTCTCCTCCCAAACTTGTTCTCATCCCTATCTGGTGCTGAGTTCTCACTGACAGTCCTGTCCCCTGTGGGACCAGTTGCTGCCACACATAGAATCATGGAATGGTTTGGGTTGGAAGGGACCTCAAGGATCATCCAGTTCCAACCCCCCTGCCACGGGCAGGGACACCCTCCACTACACCAGGTTGCCCAAAGCCTCATCCAACCTGGCCTTGAACGCTTTGAGAGATGGGGCAGCCACAACTTCTCTGGGCAACCTGGTCCATGTGGACCCTGGCATGGGTGCTCTTCACACTGCAAGTTGGTGAGTGCCCCATTGCAACACCAAAAGTGCACCAGCGTTTTATCTCCACTGCGGGTGCTGCAATCCCCATTGCTCCATCCTCCCTCCATTCCTCTCATTGTTCTCATACTGAGCATCACCCTTCATCAGCACTGCTGTCCTGATGCCCAACCCTCACAGGATGGTGACACCACTCTTCCTTGTTCCCTCTTCCATCTGCACAGATGAAACCTCCATCTCTTCTGCAGTGAAGCTATTCTTTGTGATTTCCTCTAAGGAATCCATCCAAGTTGGTTTTCCCTTCCCCCTCCACCTGCAGCACAAAGCTTGGTGTCTCCAGCGCTGCCCTTTGGCAGGGATAAAGTCGTTGGAGACATCTGCATCCCTGTAGATCGGTC